ACGAGGCCACTGCAGTATCATCGTTTCTTCTACCCGAGCCATTGGTCCTAGTTCATTATAGTTTTGTAATCGAAAACAAAAAGTAGTACATATGTGTACCATTGGTCGTCAAAGGGTTAAACATCGCTTCTGTCTTTCAATCTTCATCAAAGTATTTGAATGTCGTTCTTAGAAAATGTTTTAATATTTTCAGCGCGATATCCATAACTATTTTTATATATTCGATCTATTTTGTGGAACTCACATATATATTTTCGAAGAAAATAGTGAGTGTAAGTTTTAAATCGAGGTTTTGCAGCTTCCCTTCCACCCCTCCTAGGTTCCCACCACTACAGACCTTAGAAACTGGAGTTAAAGTTCAAAGGCCATTGAGTACATTTCTCTAGCAATGGAGGATAATAAGAACTGACTTCTTTCCAATGTCTCCTTAGCAACCATATGGCCGAAAATCAGATATTATTGGATATGTTTCCATGGCACTGAGCTTCTCCATTACAGACCGTTACAAACAAATTAATTAATAATTAATATATTAATGTTAATGTTGAATAATATTTAATATTCCATTGTTAAGCCATTATTGGGCGGTAACCGACTGTCATTGGCATATCATTAAAAAAATAGAATGTATGTATTAGAGATGTATATGACAATACAAACAACTTTTTTCAATATCACGATGTTAAATGAATGAAATAATCTGATAGAAAAGTAATTATACATATGAACAGTTTCCACTAACGAAAATTTTAGAGCGCGTTTATAACTATCAAAATTGTTATAATTCTGATTTATTTATCTATTTGATATTTTTTTTTAATAACCTATTTTAAAACCTCTGACTATATGTATTAAATTTATAAGACTCAGAGTTTGTGGGTTACGCATTTCGGCCCCTCTTGGAGCCGCACTGACAAGTTTTTTCAAGTTCCAACTGAATACCGTGGATCTTTTTCTTGTCCTTCGACAAGGAGACATCGTCTCTTTTATGTTATACGAATCATTCATAGAGAAGGAAAATTTTGATTGATACACGGATTTTTTTTCATTGTTTTTTTTTTGTGGCAAGTCAATGTTTTTACACAAGGTACACTGAACATGTTGCTTTCATTTGTACAGCAAAAATTCGATGAGAGAATGAAGGATGATGCACTTTGTTGGCTTTTGGTAATTCATTCTTCCTCACCTACGAAGAAAAACAGCACACAAGTATTACTCAACTGACGTCACGCTGCATCAACAAGTGCTGAGAATCCTGGAAATTTCATGAGACATAATTTTTTTGTATTTTTGCAAGAGAAGTTTGATTCCTATTGTTCAAAATACATGCAAAACTATTTGATGGAGGGTAGATGAAGGTAAAAAGAAGATTCTCGCCTAAACTCTCCTAAAAATCCATCATTCATCACAAAAATCATCATTTATTTGCTCTTTCGCTCGAAACAGTCAGCAATGTTCAGAATCAAGACATGTTTGTTCACAAATAATGGAATATCATTCTTAAGAAATTCGAAAAAATCGTGTCATAGTGTCTGTGTGTTCTGAGCAAAATCTTTGATGAATTCTTCAGATAGCGCAGGACAAGCAATGTTGATTGACTATGATTTTGAATCAATCCAAGAGCAATAAATCGTTTTTTCAACGATAAATTGAAGTCAAAGATTGACAATATGTTGCTTATATAAATATAAATCTTAGTATTTTGATGTCTAAATATTTGATATAACAATCAGTTTATCAAGAATTTGAAAATAGGAGGCGTGGTATTTGTTTCGTCTATCAAGTAAGATGTTAAAATTATTTACTTTTCAGCCATACCGATAAAAGAGAGAGAAGTAAAGTTGTTATATCTCCATAGTATGGACGAGAAAAATACGCATAATAAATCATAATATTCACCTCTCTTTCGCCAAAATAGTGGGGAATTTAAGAATATTCCCATCGACATATATTTTATATGCTTATCTGAACAATAAATATAATCTACGCCTCTCTCTGATTTGAGCCATGGTAAATCTATCATATTTACCATCTTTCCCTCTCTCTTTCATCTGTATGGTTTTAAAGAAAATATCCTGCATTGTGCTCAACAGAAGGAATTTAACTATGTGTAAACGATTGAAATGATATAGCCTATGCATTCACTGACAACAGTCTGATGAACATCGGCTATCTAATACAGATTTGTCACTATAAAACTTTATCAGCATATTAAACAATGATGACAACAAATGCTTCGAGTCTTTAACCAAAATCAGATATTATAAATCAAATATGATTCCATTCGGTACTATGAGTCGATGCATAGTTCGGTTTGATAAAATATACAGATGAAAATTGAAGGAGTTGTAAAATGATATGATCAATTTTCTAGTTTCGTTCAATGAATGATCCTCAAAAAAAAACAATCGTCGGAAAAACTGTAACAATACTTAATCATCATTATCAAGACACTCAAATTTTAAATCTGATTAGATGTATAAAATAAATTAAAAATAGTTTAATCTCGAAATAATGTTCATATTTTTTCATTCATAACTTTATCTCATTTTTAAATATACATTTTTAGTTTTAATTTTAATTTTAAAATGAATTAATTTTATTTAAATCATCTTTAAAGTTTTCTAAATGTTAATAGTCAGAAAAAATCTTTAAAAGTTTTAAAAAATCTAAAATAATATGGATGTCTATGCAATAAGAGTCGTGAGACGTACTCACAAGCTCACATTCTAGGATGTCCACATTAACACTCACATCTTTATATGTTGTTCTTGTAATCAATAAGAGTTCTAACTAGATACTGCTGGAAAGTAATTGTCATGGCAGCATCAGTTATGAAATCAAAAAAGAAAAAAAATAATTATTTCATTCTTGACCCCCTAAGTTTTTAGTTCAAATTTGCAGATTAGTTCATTTTAATAGAATTTGATCTATATTGCAAATGAGTTGGCTGACATGTTATAACCAACATGAAATATTTGATTGAAACAACAAAAATTATGAAAAGAAAAACTCAATTAGCAAATAGATAAAATTGAATAATTTTTATCTATATTTGCACTTGTCACTTAATGAAAGACTCGCTGAAAATTAAGGCCACCCTTCAAAAAAAGTCAATTTTCGTCAAAAAAATGAAAATTGAGATAAATGCATGGAAAGATAGCCCGTCTTCTACTCTTTCAGAAACACTATAGCTTTTAATCTAATGATATGTTTTTGACTAAAACTTTTGATGATTTCTCGCATCCTCGGCATAAAAATGCGGGTTTTCCAGGAAAAAACGAGTTTTGAGATATTTTCGTAGAAAATATGTATTTTGATGGAACCCATGGGCATTCTAATAACCTTCATCATGCTCTATAAAAGAATTTAAACACGTCTAATAGTAATGAGATATTGAAATGAGTGATTGACACAAGAGGGAAACAGCGGACTTTTGAACTTCAAGTTACTTTGAGCTACTTCAAGTAGGGTGTGGGTGTGGGTACGATTGTGGGTTAAGACTTGGATGACATTCTTTGCTCGACCCACACCCACAGCCTTTCTTGTGGGGTGTGAGTGTGCGTGGATGTAGGAGTGAATATCTTCTCGTCACACACACCCACACCCTGCACCCGCTAGAGCCCGTCGGGTAGGACCCGATCCCGAGCTCGACCCGGACTCGCTCAGGTCCGGGTTCGGGTATAAAAACTTCGTTTTGACCGGGTTCGGGTCTGAAGAAAACTTTGATGCATACAATGTACTATGAATTTTATTAAAGCTTTGTTCGGTTTATGAAGAAGAAATTGAATGTATTTAGAAAATAGATAAAAAATAACAAAACACTTGTTAACTATATTATATAAACTGATTTATCATTGCGTTTAAGTTCAAAAAATTTAAGCGACCGGATCCGGGTCCAAAATCTTGGACCCGACGGGCTCTAACATCCGCACACCCACACCCACTCACACCCCATACCCACATACACCTACACCCACTCACACTCACACTCCACACCCCACACCCCACACCCACACCCACACTCACTCACACCCACACCCCACACCCTCACCATTGAGAAATTCATCTCCCTTAAATATTCAGAATTTGTAAAACTATTTTATTTTAGTATTTATACTATAGATAACAAAGAATGGTCGAGAATTTTTTCATTAGTCTGAGTCTGAATAATAAAATAAGGTGGCGAGTGTAAAGTTTTCACTTTCCATGATCTTAGTTGCCAAAAGTCAGTAGTGAGATCTTCATCTATAAACGAATCGTCCCCATTGATAGCTATATTCAGATTGATTAAATGTTGTCCCCACTGATCTATCATTGATTGCCAAAATATAGGATCGCATATCTGTTTTCGAACCGTATCATTATAATTAGAATACTCCACTGTAGAATTCAAATAGAATTGTTTTAAATATGGACATGCACGAAGAATATATTCAATAGAAATTGGTTCACAATAACAACTCTTAAGAACAAGAATATGCATATTGAGAGCACATGGAAATATGATTGGCTTCTTGGTTGGATAACGATTTTGACGATCATCATCATCTAATACACCGCAGAACTGTTCTACATGCAATACTTTTAGTTGAGGTGAATATCGAAAGAGATGAAGAAGCCAAATAATAGAATAAATATAGCCTAACTTAAAATATCTGATTGTTGATATTGTTGGAGTTAAACAGCCGAATGCTTGATGATTGTAATCTGTGTCCATGATCAAATAACGAAGAACGAAAAATTTATTCGAACAGAATTCATGTGTTGGACACCAATGCTTGAAATAAATATGTTCATCTTTATGGGCATCGTCGGCTGTATTTGTCGTGTCTACGTCAATAATATAGAATAGGTTTGTAATACTAGTTATTTCAAAAAATGATAATAGAACCAATTCGAATTTCAATATGATAAGAAATATTTTTCGTTTTTTTTTATTTCTCATTTAAAAATCTTTCAATTAAGACTTGATTTTAGAAGAAGATATATGTAAGTTCTCACATACCGGCAATAGCAATATTGGCGTAAATAAGTGTACTCTTCAAGCTAGGAAGACGTTCATGTAACCGATTAATAATTCCATAAGTAACGTCGAATAGAGTAAGTGCACGAATTTTAGAAAATTGCTGCAAGACTTCATTGTTGTCAAAAAGCCACGAACGTATCTTTTCTAAATTTCGTGAAGTAAAAGACAGAATATGATTAAGATTAAGTGAAAGAGTAAATGATGGAAATTCATTTAATGGAATAGGATCAAGATCAAAATGGACGCGAGCATTAGCAAGTAACAAATTGAAACGACCATTCAATTGTCCAAAAGTTAAATAAAGTTGATAGGCATCAAAATATTCGAATATATCAAATAGTAATTCATTCGACAAATCTTCAAAAATTGCCACAATGTTAACACTAAAAGGGAATTAAACTCATTTTAACCGATTTTTTTTAAAATTAACTGACATTTTCTTATTTGACGATTCAAGTTGCTTGAACATTGACAAATGTAAGACTGTTCCAACTGTCAAATGATGTATCTAAAGAGACTCGGAAATAATCTATTAATAAAAACATAGTTTTTGTATCACTCATTCAAAAGAGTTTCTTTTGCTTTACACTTACTAAATACTGTCAGAACGAGCCAATAAATCTTGCATCAAGCAATATGTAAAAAAAAATAAAATGAATGCAGAAAAACGTGTTACTTGTCGACTAATAAGGTAACAACACAGAAGAGAAAAGAAAAAGAATGACTTATAATTTGAGGTTCTTTTTCAACGACATCGTAGACGCTTAGGTAACCGACGCAATAACATCGTACTTGCCTGCATTAATGCATTAAAATCAGTGAAAAATAGTTTTGTCAACTCTCTGCTGGAAGCTAAATTTTGTGTTGCTGGGATAGGAAGAATGACAGGATAGTTTATCAACATTGTCTGTGATGAGAAAATTATCAACACATTTACTCGAGTGCGATGCGACCCATATTTCCTATAATACCTATGTTTGTGAGAAATCCTTTATTTTGTCCTATACTTCGATTAAAATTCCCATTTTACCTATATTTTATCGAGAAAAGTAGGAAATATCCGAAAATCTGTAAGTTGTGCTATAGTCTTCAGAGGTTGAACAATACATTTGGTGTGTGATTATATGTTTTGAACAATTTCCTGTATTACAACCACATCTGTTTTAAACAACTACTACTTTTATTTTCGTCTATTTAATCGGTTGACTGAGAAATTGTGGGTGTGCGGTGTGGGTGAGTGTGGGCGTTAGGTGTGTTTCTTTTCTTTTCACACCCACACCCACACTCTCAGCCACACCCTTATTCTGTCATTCAAATATAATACATAAATAAACAAAACAAAGATCCGCGCATTTCCAATCAAGAACATAATTAAATCTTCGTATCAATGCTTCATCGCAAGAATAATGAAGAACGAAGAAATATAAAGAATGACAATACACAAAAATGCAGTGTTGTTTTGCTTGTTGCTTCCATTGTTATTCATGAGTCTGATATGCTATTGAAATAAATGTATGAGCTCGAATTGTGTATGAGGGTGAAGGTGTGACGCAGAGAGGTAACGTACTGAAGGTATAGGGATATCAATAATAATTTTCCAGTTTCTCAGATATTAAGTCTCTGCGGTTTCGCTGCGACTTGAGGCTACTAATGTTCTTTATGCAGACAAATGCGTATAATAAGTCCCAATGTTGCTCAGAAATTCCATTTCTGAATGAATTCTACTATTTAAAAAAATTTTAATAAGTATTTTAGTTCGGATGGAGACATAGATATGCAGGATAAAGAACTACTCATCTATAAACTAAGAATTCTGACTAAGTTCTCGTGTGAATAAACACTGGATTGGCTAGTACGACGTCAAAGAGACATCATTCAACCAGACATAATTGATAAAAAACCACGCTTTTTTTATGTACTAAACTGAGCTCTTCTTTGTTCCGGTGATATTCAATTCGAAGTTTTCGTTAGAAAATTGGTTTGATGCAGCTCGAGAATGTTTCATCTACATGAAAATAGAAGCCATTTTATAACATAGAAATTTGAGAAACCATCAATATGTATAATTAATTATTGAATCTGTTCGTTCTGTTTACAATATATAATATAACAAGCTACGCGATAGTGTGTAGATTCTCATTTTTTTTTCTCAAACTCATCAGCAGACATTTGAATTGTGAGAATACAATGAAAATCAATCCAGTTAACATTGAGACAATACGAAATAATCATCATCGAATATCATCAACTTCATTTGTAGACAGACCCAATATTTCATTGCCTGTTCGGCCATCCGTTGTAACTGTCAGCACAATCCCTCGTCAAGTACGTAATTCATCATTAAAAACTCAAGTAAGTTTCCTCTATTTGCTGTCTTTATTCTTCGAAATCATTTTAATTTAGCATGATCATTCATTGACAAAAGATAATCGCTCTCGGAATGTTATTGACAGAGTCATTCGATCACCAACAAAACGTATTTATTCAACAAATGACACAGTTTCCTACTCTGACAACATTTTGCTCTCAGTCAGTCTTTCGATATTTGAGACTATTAATATTATCTTTGCTTAAATAGAGATCACCTATTTTCACTGCTCATTCTCATGGAAATAAATCCTCTCCTATCGGCTGCAAAAGAGCATCGACTCTGAAGAATGAACAATTCTCCTGCGAACTATGGATGCCTTCGCAACATCCGTCCAATGTAACAAAAATGAATCAATATCACCAATCATCAACTCACGTGAGTTATTCTCTTGGAGAATATCTTCATTATTCAATTCTATACAGCTCAACTGAGAACCTTTTCAACAAAGACTCAATACTGTAACAGAACCTCAACAGTGACAGTGTAAAAAAAGAATGAGATATTAGCATTCAGAATGACATAAATCACAGAACTTCACACGTATAAATTAGTAAAAGAGATATAATTTCTGAATCGATGCTTTTCTGATCGATAAAAGCATACACAACTTGGCTTACTTAGCGTTTATCAACACTTAAGACATTTGTTCTTGTTTTCATATCGTTTTTTAAAGATTTATTTCATTCGTAATGGAGATAAATGATAATTAATAATTATAGAACAGAAAAACAGTAGAACTTATACTTGTACTCAATCGAGTAGTCAGAACTGGTTCCAATACATATCTAGTTTAATCCACTACAACAGAAGAGTCTTCATAAAACATAGATGATCGAATGATAAAGTTAAGAGATGTTAGTAGCATAGGCAAGAACAGTTTCTATTAGTCAACAACTATGTATTGATAAAAACTAAACTCTATCTGAGGTTAATTGAAATTATTTTTCTGGCATGAGTTTTATTTTTTTGATTTTCTCTATATTCATCTCTTCAATTAAAATACAGACAACTAATTCATGGGAAAATCTACACGATTTGAAATATCAGCATGGTCAAAAGTCGAAAAGAAAGAGGAAGAGATAGTGAGTCATTTTGTTTTGCATTCTTGTGTTATATTTTGGAAATCTTCCACTTAGCGGTGCGAATGGGTTTTGCTGCCGATGTTCACCCATCTGTCTAATTTTGTCTCTACTTGCTCTTTTTCTGCTTGGCATAGTTATTGCTGTAGTGCCTCTTGCTTTGATCACAATATCTAAAACGACAATAATAACATCAACAATAACACCAAGAACAACAACTATAACTACAGCAACTACAACGACATCCACATCAGCAACAACAAGTGAGATGTCATTCACGTTTTTGTTTACGTATGTACAATGAATATCCATGTAATAGTATCCGTAAAAATGTTTAAATTGATCAATGTAATACTTATGAGTGAGATAACTCCAAGAGATAATAACAATTTTTAGAGATTTTAAAATTTATAATTATCTTCTTCAGATTACAGAAGTCGAAAAAAGAAATCAAAAGAAAGAGTGAAAATCGATCGGGATTATGTCGAAATCAGTACTGATAAAGATACAACAATCAGCATCCTGGATAAAAGTACGATTTTCAGTGAGAGTTTAGGAAATCAAGTTGAATTCCATGGTATTCTAGGAATGTCGAAATAAGCAGTGTCGTATCTTGAGACAGAGTAGACAACATTGTCCGAACTGTGTCGTTGCTGCTTGGAGTTGCGATCTTACGAAAGCTACAATGTCCAAAATGCATATCGCGAAACCAGATAAATATTGAACGATGATTAGAATGCTTTAATATAGGACCAAGTTACCGTAAAATAATCAAGATTTGAAAGCATCTCTTCGTACTGTAAGAGAATGTGTTCTAATGAAAACTATATAGAAGGTTAGATAAAGTATTTAGATTATTGAAATTTATTATCCTCTCTGCTTGCGCCGTAGCAATGACCAAGGTAAAGTTATTTGGAATTAAAAAGTATACTGATCGAATAATTCCTCTTTATTATTGTATTAAGGCTAATGATCATTTTTGTTTCATAATAGCTCCATGGAATAAATTTCCTGCACAAATGACTTATTCTACTGGTCTTAGTTCTGGTCCATATTCTGTGGCGACCGGCGATGTTAATGGAGACAACAAAACTGATATTATTGTAGCAAACTACGGTACAGACAACGTTGGTGTTCTCATCAATACAGGCAATGGCACGTTTGTTACTCAAGTGACCTATTCAACTGGTTTCAGCTTTCATCCATTTTCTGTGACGACAGCCGATGTTAATGGAGATAGTAAAATCGATATTATTGCAGCAAACAATGGTGCAGACAACGTCGGTGTTCTCCTGAATACAGGCACTGGCACATTTTCTGGTCAGGTGACGTATGCGACCGGTTCTAGCTCTTATCCATGTTCTGTGGCAGCAGCCGATGTCAACGGAGATACTCATCTCGACATTATTGTTCTGAATTACTTTTCACATAATGTTGGTGTTTTCTTCAATACGGGTACTGGCACGTTTGGTGCTCAAATGACGTATTCAACTGGTTCTAATTCTTACCCATATTCTGTGGCAGTAGTTGATGTCAATGGTGACAGCAAAATCGATATTATTGTGGCAAACAGCAATGCAGCCAACATTGGGGTTCTTCTCAACACAGGCATTGGCACATTTGTTGCACAGGTGAGCTATACAACGGGTACTAGTTCTTATCCGTATTCTGTGGCAGTAGCTGATGTCAATGGTGATAGCAAAGTCGATATTATTGTGGCAAATGCCAATGCAGACAATGTTGGTGTTCTTCTCAATACAGGTACTGGCACATTTGCCGCTCAGATGAGCTATACAACTGGTGCTAGTTCTTCTCCATATTATGTGGTAACAACCGATGTCAATGGAGACACCTATCTCGATATTATTGTCGCGAATAAAGATTCAGACAAGTTCGGTGTTTTCCTCAATACAGGCAATGGCACATTTATTGGTCAAGTGACCTATTCAACTGGTTCCGCTTCTCAAGCGTATTTCGTGGCAGCAGCCGATCTCAATGGAGATACGAGAGTCGATATTATTGTGGCAAACAGAAATGCAAACAACGTCGGTGTTTTCTTAGCTGCTTGCAATTGATACATAAATTGAACTCGATTGATTCAACAACATTTTACTACACTGAAAAAAAAGGTACGATACGGAACCAAAAAGAGTATCGTGAACGAAAAAAAGGTTTCGCACGTACTACGGGACCTAAAAAGGTTTCAAATTCGTTTCAATTCTCTGAACCATTTTGAGGTGTGGGTGTGGATGTAACCATTAAAAGGTGAACATCTAGACCCACACCCACACCCACACCCCACACCCTATATGGGTAAAAAATTAGATCCATCCCCCCACAGACGTGGCAGATAGTTTTTCAAGATCTGTGATATGAACTAAATATGTTATAAATAGATAGACTTCAAATATCTCTTTGTCTTTAACTTCAGCAGTTTTTTCGTGTTTCACATTTTAACCCCGCAGGAATTCCTCTAACAGCATTATTTTTGGCGGATACCGACTTTTTTATTCTCTTGCGAATAAACAACGAGAACAAATCATAACAAATTTAGTCTGCACCGTCCGTTCAATCATTCAAAAATATCATTCTGTGCGCCATCTTCGAATCCCATACGTGCGTTGTATGTTGGCATTTTCGGTGGATTTATCACGTTATTTCCATCTAATTGTTGATAGAAGATCATTTGTTTTGCTCCCTTTACACATTTTGAAGGATCATCTTCACAGTATACCGGTGGTTTGGCTACCGCCAGTCTCTTGTTAGAAGTTGAGTTGGTGACAATACATTTATGGCCTTGCATATACATGTTGGGCTGTCCGCATCCCATAGGAATCCATCTAGTATCAAGAAAAGAAAAATATATTAGAAGTTGAATTATAGAACGAAAAAATATAGTTAAAAACGCACTGTCGATTTAAAACTATAAAAAGTTCACTTACCCCCATGCACATGTACAACCACCTGGAGGACAGGGAGGTAAATCTTTTGGTACATCGTACATAGTCAATCTTTGCCAGGGTGTATGGTATCTTACAGTGAAGACGACCAAATTTTCCGGTGTGACATTGTCAATGCTGTTCTGATAGGAGATAGCAAAAACTGTTCCTGGAGCTAAATGTTGGCTTGGTGTGTGCAAATTAGGACCGATAACACATCTATCCTCGCCTCGCACAAGCTGTTGGGGACCACCATAAAAGTCATTGAATTTTGAATTTTTACCAAAAGTTGTAAAAGCACGATTTTGGGCAATTTCAACAGTGAAAGAATCTCCTGCAGGAAGTTCAAGGTAGTGACCAGCGGGTGGTGGAGCTTGGTCACATCCTCGCTCGTGTTGAAACCACCAGTCTTCTTTTTTGAGCATATATTGAGGAAAGACAGGTAACATGTTGTTAATATCATCTTTCCCTGGAAGTCCCTATAAATTAACATAAATTTCTAGAATAAATTCGCCTTTGTTTACGTACTTTCATACAGTACATACCTTTGGACCAGGCTGCTTGATGAGCTGTAAGAAAGCAAATTATGAGTTAATATTGTTTTATATATGAAGAAAAAGGTAAGTGACTTCAGTTTTAAAAAGAGGTCAAAATAATAAAATACCTTTTGCAGTGAAGATCAATGCACATAGTAGTGCAGATGCGAATATGACTTTACAAAGCATTGAAAATGAAAAAAATGCAGCAATATTCTCTTATTTATTCATGTACATAACGAAATGTTTTTGCTTTATGTGAAAAATGACAGATTGAGAAGTGTAATTTATTTTGAAAACGCATCTATTTGCTTCTTCCCTTCTGTCTTCATTCCCAAACAAATTTATGTCGATTTTAGAAAAAAAAAGTAGAATATTTCAAGTATTTTGCTCTTACTTGCTTGAAAAATTGAAAACTCAGATAAATCAAAAGATTATAAATAAAGATTATGAACTTGATGAAGATATAGTAAGACATCTTTGAAAATTAGCACCGACTACACTGAAAACAAAAAAAAGGTGTCATTTGAAACCTAAAAAGGGTGTCGTGCTTAATACGAAACCCTTAAAAAGCTTTTGGAAGGATTTCGCAGTTTTATACGAAACCTTTACAAAGATTTCGCAAAAACCCTACAAATTTTTTAAAAGTTTCGTGTAAAACTACGGAACCTTCAGTTTTTTTAGGGTTTCGTTCAATACTGTGAAACCCTTCCGAAAACTTTTCAAGCATTCAGAAAACTTTTTAAGGGTTTCGTAGTACTGCACGAAACTAAAAAAGGCTTTCGAATGACACCTTTTTTGTTTTCAGTGTGGGGCACAGGTGAGAGTGAGGACGTTTGAGGATGGGTACAATAGTCATTAGGATTATGAAAGTTGAATTCAACTTTTGAGTTTGACACTACTGTTTGAAAGTTTATAATAAAAAAAATCATTTTTTTCCAAAAAAAACTTCGTTTTTGGTAAAAAAAACGATGCGTTCAAAATACTAACGTCAGATTTGGATTCCCCGACCCCGATTACCCCTTGTTGAAAGTTTTAGTAATGATGATCTCTAAGTTTTCATTGATTTATTTGTTCCTAATTTCTGATTGGCTTGGCCGGACAGACAAACCATATTCATTTTGAGCTCAGGATTTAACCGCTGTATAACCCTTTCTTTCAGAAAAAGGAACAACATGTAAAGCCAGAGAAATTTTCGACAGTATGAAAAGCAAAATAACATTTCTAGTTATTGATCACAATCTGCACTCAATAAAACTCAAATTCTGTTCATTCTTGCATCAATAAAAACAAGATCATCTTGGGTGTGGGTGGGGTGTGGGTGTGGGTGTGGGTGGGTGTGGGTGTGGGTGTGGGTGGGTGTGGGTGTGGGTGTGGGTGTGGGTGTGGGTGTGGGTGTGGGTGTAGATATTGTTCTGTTCTCAATCCACACCCCACCCAGCCACATCCACACCCACACTCACATCCACCCACACACCCGCACCTGCCCTCACCTTTCAAAGTTTTGTTGCCCGGCCTGTGGGTCATAACCCATGAACTGTGCATTTGTGGTCTCCAACTGACTCACGCATTTTTGTTGATATTTTGCCCATATGTAGAGTTTGATGAGACTAGAAAAAGCTTAATAGACTAATGGCCCATATGGCTTCCTTCTCAAATTATGGTTATTTTACTGGGTTTACCATATATGACAAGAGATTCAGTGAAAAATTAAATTACCGAATTTCGACCTGTAATTTCGTCCACATGCAGGTGTTATGACCTCTATATTGGCCTAACAGTTTCAGCCAAAATAAAGGCTTCTTTCTCGAAATATTGCGTAATCCCATATCATAGATGGCAAATCCAGTAAAATGACCATAACCTGAGAAGGAAGCCATATGGGCCATTATTCTTTTAGCTTTTTCTAATCTCATTGAACCCTGCATATGAAAAGAATGTCAGCAAAAATGGCGTAGATCAGTTGGGAACCTGCCCGCATGAGTCCGGTATTCTTATGCGCTGTTCGATTACTAATCGTTCAAGAAGTCTACAACAAATATTTTATCTATTCAAAAAGGCTCGAGAAAACACCACGAATCCTTGTTTTATTCTTTGGTCACGATATAGTATGGCTTTTGTGTCAAAGGAATCATTCACAGAGCGGGAGAAAAAAGTTGATTGACACACATGCTTTTGTTCTTTTTCCGCGGAACGTTGATATCTTTGCAAGCAGTACACTTGAATAGTGGCCTTCATTTGCATCGTAAATATTTGATAAGAAAATGGAGAATGGCGTACTTTGTTGACTGTCATCAATAGGTTTTTTCCAACTGACAAGAAAAACAACACAAAGTTAATAAACAGATAAAGCAACGCTGAATCAGCAAGCGTTGTGATGACATTTACAACACTTTGATGTAAGAGAATTTCTTAGACATTGCTATGTAGCACAACCAACAACAGTATGATTATACACTCTGAAATATTTTCTATATTAAAAGATATAGGCTCCATACAAAACCTCTAGAGCTTCGTACCAGGTTCAGAAATCACGCCGCCTTTCAGGTCCGGCCTGTAACGCGGGCCAAGATTGTTCGAGCCCAATCTAACCCAACTCAATGCAGTCCATTTTACCCGACTCGTAAACGATTTATAAAGTCTGATCAATTAAAACTGCTTTTTATAATCGATTAAAATCAAAGATATTTATCTTTAAAGCTTAAAAATCAGATTTGAATTGAAATAAAAATACAACCATTTAGATCGATTTTCATTAACAAAATAATCAATTCTAATCTACTTGATCGACATTTTCTTACGTGAGTTAGTATCAATTGGTATCATATCTTGAAGTACGTAATGATTTCAAACTTTGATTTAAACCCCCTGCAATAGAAAGCCTCTCCGTATTACAAGACCGCTCTATTGAGAAGGCACCCCTGGAGAGTTTTTTTGCGGGATTGTGTGTGCTTTGTCGGGAATTTGAGTGAAATTTTGACCGGATGTGACTCGTCATAATATAAGACCCAGAGCCTTTTATTGCGGGAGAGATTAATGTTATACTTATTATTTGTTGAGAAGAGAAGTTCGAAAAAGGAATAGAAGGTTGAATTTCGGTATTGTATGGAGACCCCGTAAAAAGAAATCTCGAAAAATTGAAATTTCTGAAAACCTATATGACGAAATTGAGGGCAAGGGTGACTGTAAGAGTAAGGCTGAGAGTGAGAGTGATGTGAGAATAGCGGTGAGAGTGTGAGGATGAGGATGGGTTGAAGGAGCATTTGAAGATTCTAAATGTTTTGGTTTCGAGATTTTGTTTGCGAGTTTTTCTATTTCAAGCTTTTTACATGATCTACAATGTATATGTATACAAAACCATTTAATTGCGTCAGCATTAGTGATTTGCTTAAGTTAAAATTTCCAATGTTTTGAATATAATTTCGACTTCACATACTGCTAGATTTAGTTAAATGCATTCTCGATTCACCTTACAAACCAACGCTAGATTTATAAAATGCTCGGAAGTTATAAATCAGGTCGACATTTATAAATCGGTTTATAAAGGGTGTGGGTGTGGGGTGTAGGTTGAGAACAGAACAACATCTACACGCACATCCGCACCCACACACCCACACCCACATCCAACTAATTATTTGTAGTTGATAATAATCAAAAGATATTTCTCCAAAAAATATAAAATTTTCTAAATTTATTCTGTTTAATGTTGTCTAAATAATCTCATATTCTCTAAAAAGATAATTGTTTATTCATATGACAACTGAAAAAAACTGTATAAAATAGCATTTTAGAACGATTATGAACATTTAGAAGTTGATATCTTGTGAATATGGCTGAATGGTTTAAACGATGGGTAAGTAATAGATTGTATGCATGTTCGAATCTAATCTTCATCCTTATATATTCTCATTTAGACTAGTCCGGACTCGTCCACTACATAAGGTTATAATTTGTCCTATGTACCGTCTCAGACATCCTTACTTTTTCAATTTTAAATCTATTTCGGACGGGCGTCACTGCTACCTGTCCTGACTAGTCTTTTTCTCAAAAAGTCCTCCTACATGACTAGTCCATCTATTGTTGACTCTTTACTAGTCCTGGACGGGTCTTTTTTGCAAAACAGACTAGACCTGTTAAAGACAATGACACCCATCAATTGTATAGTCCGGACGGGCACTATGGGTCACAACCTATTTCAGATTAGTTATGTAGTAGGACTTTTTGAGAAAAAGACTAGCCCTGACGTATAGTCAGGACTAGAAAAATGACTAGTCTTTTTACCCGTTCTTTGCTCGCCCGGGTGTCATGTCACGAAGTTAACCATGGGTGCTCTTAATCATCATCATAACTGGTGATTCATTTCAATCATATTTCGTCGTAAAAAACAGCTGAAATCGTCGCAAACGTTTCTATTTCGTTTCATTCTGTTTGCCTAAGAATATCGTCATTCTATTTCATTATTGCACTCGAATCATTTTCTTCTATGTACGCAGGAAGTAATTCTTCCTATTTACATACAGCCTACAATATCGAAGGAAAAATTGAAAAAAAAA